ACCGGCCACCTCTTTGCAATCCACCACTCATCTAATGAGCCGTGAGCTCGTGACAGGCTATTACAGGGGAGGTAAAAACCCATGGGCCATCGTGATTATGGTGACTTACTCTCAAAAGAGTGATTCTAAGCCAAGAAAGGCAACAGCAAAGCCTCCATGACAGATTGTTCTATTTATTGCTTTGCAAAGATGCCAGGAGAGACACACTCCATGTCCAGCTGAAGAGCATCCTTCCTACAGCCTCTTACCTTGTGGAAGTCAATCCCCAACTTAAAAACCTTTTTAAAGCAAGCAAAGGCAGCAGCTCTGCACCACACCGGACCTCTCTGCTGGGAATAACAGCTCTGGGCAAGACCTGGGAGCTTCCAACACGGCTGCCCTGGTACAGAGGGGATGGTGTCCTCTCCCCTCAGCTTCCCGTCCCACCACAGCCCGAGCTCACACACAATTATGGCTTGGCTGCACAGCTCAGGAGGTGGAAGAGCAGCAGCTCAGGAACTGTGGCTTTGCTGGCCATAAAACCAGACATGGGAAGGCACCGAAGGTGGAACTGCTGAGTGTGCACTTCCACGGGACACTCCTTGGAGTGAGGGCTGCTTCTGCACAGCCACAAACCATCCCGTGGGACACTACCCCTGCGCCCTTGCTCCCAGCCAATTCTCCTCACCAGCTATTTAGTTAATGAATTTGAACAGCAGAATGGTGGAGATGGGCTTGGCCCAACATCACCACATTCTTGGCAACAACTGTCCCATAGAGGGGCAGGAGTGGCCGAGTCCTCCCTGGTGTGCTCAGGCACTGGTCCATCACCATTTACATCACCAACACAGTGACAATCTGCATCCCCAAAACCAGCCCAAGCTCTCCCTTTGGTTCCCATGTTCAGATTGCAGGAGTGTTTCCAATACCTCTTCTGAAGGGATTTTATACCTCAGGGCAATCAATCCTCAATTCTTCTGCTTATTAAGGAAAGGTTTGTTTTAAAACATCAGAAAACAAAGCTTGGAGAAGCATGTCCACACAGCCTGATCACAGTCACCAGAGAGCTGGGAGACCTCTTCTGCAAAGATCTCCATCACCCCTTCACCGCACCCTCCCACGATGGTTCACAGCATCACACGGGGAAAGGACCAACTGCTCCAGCACGGATGGGCAGGAGGAAGAATCATACAAGAGATTGGAAAAACAAAAATTAAAATACATATTTCACTCCCTTTGAGAAGTTCAAATGAGATGCTGTTGGTTGACTTTGGGGTTCAGAGGACAAGGCAAAAGACAGGAGAGCACTGCAGCTCTAGAGAAGGGGAGAAGGATTGTTGCTGCATTTCAGAGAGGTTAGAGGCAAGTGAAGATGGGCTCAGTGTTTTGATTGCCATGGAGATTTCACTTAGAAACCATTTTTCCTGCCATAGCTCTGCTCAGCAGTGACAGCTCAGCAGGTCCTCCCAAGGAACTCCATCTCAGGGGGGGCTGGGGTGGAAGAGAGCCCACGGGTGCCTCACCACACCACTGCCTGTGTGCGCAGACCCCAGCCTGGTGAGACCCCGGCCAGGGGGATCAGAAGGATCCACTGATCCTCAGGAGCAAACTTTAGGAACTGATCGCAGCCTCTCAGGGCCAGGAGAAGACCCTCTCCCCCATGAGAGATGCACCAGGGTCACCCCTGCACCCCAGCCTGTGCCAGACCCCCCTGCAGACCTGCCTCTCCTCTGGAAATCACCCCAACAGTCCTTCTGAGGACAGAGATGACGGGCCAAGGACAGGACCATGCCTTGGTCCCTTGTCTCCAGCTCCTGCATCGCAGCGTGGGCTGCACCACCATGGGTGATGCTCCCTTTGTCCTCCTAGCACAGGCAACGTCAACATCTACTCATTACCTCCAACCCACGAACTGGTGGAGATGCTGCACCCAGTGACCAGCCAATTCTGGGACTACAGGGTTTCTCCAAGGCTGGATGGGATCTTGGAGATCACCTCATCCAGCCCCTGCTTGGGTTTTGAGCACACCCAAGGATGGAGCCCCCGTCACAGGCACCACTGCATGGAGGGATCAAAGAGAGGGAGAAAACAGACATGGGGACAAACCCACCACTGCTGTGACCTTAGGCTCTTGCCCAAATTCACCTAATTCCCCACCAGCCACCCCCTCCTGCACAGCACATCCCCCCCATGGGGGTCCTGGCTCTGAGCCCCAGAGCGGGCAGCACAGCAACACCCCCCATGGAACCCACCACAGCATCACAGCTTCTCTCCTCTTCAGCAGAGGAGGCTTTTGCCTGCTGGGTTCATGCTGAGAACCCTGCCTGGGCACAGAGCTGCCCCATCACCCCCACCCCTGGATCCAGCCTGGATCCTGGACTCTGGCTCTCCTGTCTTTATTCTCGGTCAGGAACTTGCCCATCTCTCCTCCCAGCTGGCTCTCCCTGCAGCCACAGCAGTTCTGCAGTTTTAAGCGACCACAGGCAGGAGCCACTGAAGCTGTTCAGCTGAAGAGTCACAAAAACACCAAGTACCAGATCTCCAGGGATGAGGTCACATCTGAGATCTAAAACGGTTCTTTGCTAATGAAGAGCAATTGGGCTGATGGTTCTGAAAATAAAAAGGAATTGCAAAATTCCTAGAAAGAGGCTGTTCAGCCTAAGCCAGGTATTTCAATCAGAAAAATCGTTTCTCTAATCACACTGACCAAATTCCACTCTCTGTTTTCATAAATGGAGGAAGGCCAGTGCCTCCTCCTACCCCACATACAACACATCTCCTCTCCAGAGATTGTTTCCTAGATCTTTGAAAATGTATCTCCCTAAATTACCCTTATTTAGCTCATTCCTGCCCAGCACAGGACACGTCCACGTGCCGGCAGCTGCTGTTGCTGCAGTGCTGACCACACTCTGCATCTTGGGCTCAGGAATCATTCCTGGGCACTTAAGGATGGACAGATGTTGCTGTTCCCAATCACACCCAGCAGGTTCACTCACTTTTGGGTCCAAGACGATGGTTTTTTGCACAAGTCCACAAGCAGGTACCGTAGGTGGTGGTGAAACGCAACGCTGCTGCCACACACAGCTCCTACAGCGACTGAGGTGGTGGGAATGTTCCATGTTCAATAACATCACTCAAGAGAAGTAAGAGACCAAGTAAAAAAGGGAGGACAGGGAGTGAAGCAAAACCCAGGGGAGATGTCCACCTTGGGGCTGTGCCTGTCCCCCTGTCCCTCTGCTTTGCTGGCTGCTCCCCAGGCACACACTCTCCTCCACCTGCCTCACCAGATCATCTCCTCCTTCTCCTCCCCACCACGCTCCAGGGCCAGCTCCATCCAGAGCTGAGGTCCAGCCTCATGCTCCTCCAGGACCCACACCACCACCAACCCCCCAGCACGCCACAAATCCCCAAAAACCTTCTCCCACCAAGGCCTGAGGGTTGTTTCCACCCCCAGCCAGAAAAACGCGAGGACCCACCTCCACACACAGACCCATCACACACCATTTGCTTGAGCAGCAATTTTGGTGTGTGGTTCTTTTCTTTTTTTTCATGCACAGGAACCATTTCCTCCTCACAACACCAAACCCCCAAAAGGCTCCATCTTCTCCAGCAGCCACAAGGTCTATCACCCACACCGACCTCATCCAGGCAAAAAGGGGCTGCAGCAGCCCCCAACCCCTGGGCAAGGGAGAGCTCCTGAGCACAAACACTGATTTTTAAAGGTGGTTGTGGATCTGCAGTGCCCTGGCTCATAAAGAACAGTGTGAAACCAGCGCGGGGTGCAGCGCCTGTCGCGTTAACGCCGTGTGCGCTTCTACATCTCCTACACAAATGAATCATCAAATGACATTTAAAAACCAGCAGTACGTGTCGGTTAATCATAGCGAGAGGGAGCTGCTGGCTAACGGGGAATATCCCACGTTAAACCCGAGGGAACATTTCTGTAAAGGAATTAAAATAAAATTGACAGTTGATTTAAACTGGCCCCCAGATCAACCCCCCCCACACACACACACAAGAACAGCCCAGGTCACTGGGAGAGCCCTGCAGACCCTGCGCTGCAGAAAATTGAACCCCAAAGCACCTGCTGAGGATGCTGAGCACCTCTGCAAACACAGCAGAGCCCCAACATGAGCTGCTGAGGGTTTCCAGGGGAAATTTCTAAGTGGAAAAAGCTGCTCCCCAGGCCAGATCTCATCTCTCAGTGCCACAGAGCTCTTGTTCCTGAGCGAAACCCCCACTTCCGCAACCGCGCCTTCTCCTTTTATGCTCAGTGCTGGTTGGGGCCCCAAAGTTTGTGATAGAGATGTTTTTTTGCCTTTTTTTTTTTTTTTTTTTTTAAAAAAACACTTAAAAAAACATGAAGCAGCCTTGTCAATGTTACTGGTACAGAAATCTCGTCCTGGAGTGAAATGCTGCCCAGCCAAGCACTCTCTCCTTCTCCAAGACAGACACACGCACCCCAAGTGCCCAGAAAAGGACCAGATTCATCACCATATTAATAAAGTTTGCAGATTAATTTAGCCCTATAACTTTCCCATCTCCCTGTCCCACCTGGCAGGTGCAATTTTCACCAAGGGTACATATTTTGGGAGGCAAAACCACAGGTCCCTGGCCAGGAGCCTGCCGTGTGGATGGCAGCTGGCAGGGTTGCTGCCTGTCCCACTAAAGCTGGAAAAAACCCCCCACATTTGGAGTCAGCTCCACTGTGGATCCCCTGGGAAAGGGACAACCCAGCATGGAAAAGGTTGAGATATGGCTGAGAAAAATCTGCAGCAGCACAGACTCCCTCCACGGGAGCGGGGAGCCAGCGGGAGGCAGGTAGAGCCTTCCTGCAAGCTCATTCTGGCAGCACCTGCAGCCAAACGTGCAGGAACACCAACATCTCCCCTCACCAGCAAACCCCCCTCCCCCAGAACAACCCTCCACATTAGTTTTTCAGCTGTTACCTTGGCAGGGACCTTGCTCGGTGCACTCCGGAAAAAAGAGGTTTTTGCTGTGAAAAAGCAATCCTCGAGGTCTTCATCCAAGCTACAGTACCCGCTGCTCATGCTGCTGCCGATGGTCATCGAAGCTCAGCAGAGGCGAGAGACCCAGCGTGCAGGGGGGTTACCAGGGGGTTGGTGACCATCGGTGGTCCCCGCTCCAGCTCCCTCGCCAGTGGTGAGCCCGCTCTCACATCCTCCTCTCGCCGGCGTTTATCTGCAATAGCTCCTTCTGCTCATCCTCCAGAGCCAGCCCAGCTATTTCTCTTCAGCAAGCAGCCGTGCCGGGTAACCCTTCCCTCTCCTCCTCCACCCTCCTGCCTGCGCAGCGGCGCTGGGGCAGCATGGAAGGGGCAGAGCTGGAGTTTGCTCCCAATCTTTGGCACCCAGATTCACCCAGCACCCATGGGCTGGTCCCTCGGGTGCCCACGCAGCATCACCTCCCCTTCCTGCACCCGCCTCGCACCGCGCAGCCCCAACACTTCCTCTTGCAAAATTTCTCACCCCGCTGCATGTCAGAGCTGAGAGGTGCTGGGTTTGGCCCTGGGCACTGCCCGGACCCCCATGTACCCCTAGCACCTCCACTGCCACCCAAAATACCTCGCCACAGTGGACTGGCTTCTCACTCCTTCCCTGTTAGTGCATCCCCAAGAGCTGTGTCACATCTGCTGTCTCAGGGAAGCAAACCCAGGCTGGACCGAGCCTGACCACGCTGCCCAAAGGTGGTGGGAAAGGGGGAGGCTAGTGAGGATGTGGCCCTGGACCCTCCTCGGGGGTGCCAGGAGCCCCTGGCCATCCCACTCCAGTTGGCAGTGGGTGCCTCCCCGCTCTGCAGCTAATTTTAGAGCAGCGGGAGTGATTTCAGCAGCACTGGCACTCGATTGCAACCCAGGAAAATGCCATTCAGCTCCTGAATTTGCAAGAAGCATTTGCTCCAGACTGATTAAAATGCTGGGTTGGCCTCGGAAAGAGCCTCAGAGCAACAGCATCATCCCTGCTCCCCTCTCCTCCTGCAGCCCTGCGGAAACCCAGCCAGGCACAGATCCATCCCCAGCGCTGCCTCCTCCATCCCCAGCTCCCCCAGTCCCTCCAGACCCCACCATCCCACTAACACCCTGTATTTACCCAGCAGCTTTTGAAGCAGCTGGGAAAAATGCTGGGAAAAAGCAGCTTGGAAAAAGGACCTCCCTCCTTGGTGAAGATCACAGGTATTTCTGGAGAGCTGGGCAGGAGGAGGGCTCTGCTATCATCCCCCTCTCTGTAGGGAGCTCTGGTGAGGGGCTGTGCATCCCTGGGGATACAGGACATCCCAGCACGGGCTCTCTCCACCCACCTGAAACCCGGTGTGTACTCATGAGCAGGTTGAGGGGACTAAAGAAAAGCCTGACACACCGTGTTAGAAGGACTCTGCTTAGTCAATGCAGCATTAGCATACATGCTAACGATTCTCCACCGTCCTTCAGGAAAGAAAGAGGGAACAAGGCCTGAGAGCATCATGCCCCTGAATAAATCCACCCTATGCCCACACTTCAAATATTTCATGCAAGACCCGACCAGCCCATCCAAAGAATAAAGAATTGCAAAAGGAACCATGAAGGGCAGGGCAGAGTAGAGCTACAGGGAGGTTTCCAAGCGTGGGGCCAGCCTGGATCTGGAAAGGAAGGACTAGAGAGAACCTAGACATGATGGAGAGCTACAAAATCATGGGAGATGTTCACAAGAAGAGTGCAGGAAGTTTAACACCAGAAGGATATAACACCAATTCACTCTCTGTGAATTTCTCCAGGTCCTTTTCAAGGCACCACTCTCACCATCACTAGGGGTTATTTTTACACCCGGCCAGCAAGTGCGGGGAGCAGCCTTGGCTCTACTCTCCAACTTGACCATCTGCAGTAGGACCATCAGCAAACCACCCCCAGAAAATGGGGCTATCACTCACTTCTTCAGGTCACAGGGCTCCTTTGATCCAAAAGAGCTCCAAGATCTTCACACAAGCTACCATCCACACCTGAAAACCTCTTCCCCTCTTGATAGGTTGCAGACGGCGTTTCATACCCTTCCATCTGTATCTGTTAGCTGAAGGACATAAATTGTGACGAGCCTTTGATAGCTCCGTACCCCTCAGCCAGCAGCATCCCTGAATACAAACCGGGATGTCAACGCAAAGACTAGCAGGAGGATGCAACATCTGCATCTCAAAGAGGAAGGCAAGAATCCAAATGGCACATTTACAAAGCAACTGGTAACGCGGCAAATAAATAAGCTATCCTCTTAGCAGCACGCGTACTTCTGCAGAGGCACAAACCTCCCCAGCTTCACCAGGCTATATTTAGCAGAGAAAGAGGCTTAAATTGAGTGTGCAACATGAGCAGAAAGTGAGGTTGGGCCAATGAATGGCACAGGCATCGAGTCTTTGCTGAAGCCTCAGCCCTGAGCATTTCGCAGTGGAAACGGGGTGCAGCAGCTTTGCAGAGCCCCGTGTGAAGCTGGATGTGCTCCCACTGCCTTGCTCCATGAGCTTCTCCAAGGAGCCCTCGCTTTTCCACCTGCTTGGGAGATCAGCTCCATAAAAAAAAAAAAACAACAACCAAATCAAAAAACCCAAGTAATTTTGACCCATTGGTTCAACAGCAGCTCCAGTTAATGATTACCTGCACAAGACCCCCCAGAGAACCCGCTCACCAGTGACCTGCACCAGTTTGCAGGTGGGAAGTGTATGACCAGCTCTGCCAAAACCAGGAGCCAAACTCCTGGTGCTACTGAGAGCAGCTCTGTCACCTTCAGCAGAGTCTGGATTTCACCCAGGGAGGCTAATCTGGGACCCAAATGTAATGCACTCAAGTACTTTGCTGGATCAAAGCCCAAATTATTAAAGCCTGGTGTGACATGGTAACAGTACTTAACTATGTGATATTAAAGTAGTTATTTCTCTGATGCTTCTAGTTTGCTTACATTTGATAATACTATTTAATGAGTTCCAACTATGCCAGCTATTAATTTCAGCTTCTTGTGTTCTCAGTGAGCAATCCTCTCTTACTTCCCCTGTGTATTCAGGCACCCTCGGAGTCTCTTTCTGGAATCCTGACACTGTTTTCCCTTCATCCTCCTTCTTTCAAGCAGCAAAACCTGCTCGGCCCACAGAAACACACCAGGAACATGGCTGTGTGCTCAGCTTTATGGGCTCAGCTGAAGTAAACTTGAAGATTATTTTTTTCCCTGATGATCCATTATCCACAAACGAGAAGGGAGCTTTATCACAATGATTTACCCTCATTCACCCTCAAACCAGCCCATGCACCTCCCCAGCCTCGCAGCCTTCCCCAGCACAGGTAACGAGACTCCAGACAGAGCTTTACCGTGAGGAGGGTTCAGAGGTGTGATCCCCAACCAGGACCTCGGGATGGGTTTATGGATTTCTGTTTGTTGCTGTAATTGGACAGACTTTTGTTTCCTCGGCACAAAACGCCTCCCCCTCCCTGTGATCACACCGGAGACGTGTCAAAGTGATGAATTGCCACGAAGCGCAGGCTCCGTGTTTATTATTAGGACCATCAATAACCCCTGGCTGCTCTTATCACCCTAAAGAAGAAACAAGCCTTTCTAATTTTTCTAAAAATCAAGCTTTTCCCATGCTGCCCGGGGAAGCCTGACCACATCTGAAGGAGAAGTAAACACACAGATCTGGTTTCACACCCTTATTCAAATACCTCAAGGCTCAGTGAAGAATCCATCCAGAGTCCCTTTGTAATGCACAACTTGTAAGATAAATCTCATCTAACTTCAGGTTCCTTCCTGACCATTTTCATCTGAGCAGCAACTACCTGGTATTTTCCTCCCAGGAGCACAGAAACATTTCAGAGCCCAAAACAGGAGCTCCTGGCTCCAGAGACCTTGCACAGCAAAGCACAGATGACAACCAAACCCCACCGCCAGCTCCTCATGCACCCAACAGCAACCCCACATCTTCTTTTAAAAAAGTGCATGTTTCCATTTCTAACTTTGCACAAGAGCATCAAGGTCCTCCACAAAGAGGAACATAAATGCACAGTTATAATAAAGGAGAGAATACAGTTTTTAAAAAGCCTCTAGAGATTGCAGAGGCTCTGTGCCTGTCAAATCCCCTCCAGGCAGGTTTCTAGGCAATGTTTTAAGCTCCCAGCATGAAGTATCTTACATCTCAACTTGCGTGGCATCGTCCAGTCTCCCTGTGCCCTGTCCCAGCAGACACCCACGCTGGCATCACAGACACCACAGGACCCTCAGGGGGGATTAAGCAAAGAGCTAAAAAAACCTCCCGGAGTGGCCCCGGGGATTACTGCACATCCCTAATACAGATTGGAGAGTCTCAATCCCTCAGGAGTATTGAAACTCTTAAATCAAGGCTATTAGGCTGGAGATTCTTGCAAAATCCCATGCTCACACTCTGCCAAGATGAAGGAGAAATGGACCTTTGCTGCTTCTTCTCAAACACTTTGCACCTGGTGCTGGGACACAGTTTAACACCAGTATGGACACTCCTTCACAGGCACCTGGACACGGCCAGTATCACAGAATGGTGGGGTTGGAAGGGACCTCAGGAG